CTATATAATTCGTGGAGCAATTCTAGAACAAAAAGATAGAATGTTTAAATATTTACATTAATTCACAATATAGTAGAAGCAACAAAATATTTCTCTTCTCAAGGAATCCCACAAAATCTACTGAAGAGCAGGTCCACTTCTACGATCTGAATATCATTTTTTTTATAAATAACATCCCCAATTAATAAATAAATAATAATCATAAACACAAAATAGAAAATAAATGACTAATCTAATAATTGATCGTGTTATTAATGAATAGTACAATTTATCTTTGATAATCAAGTAATAAAATATAAAGGAGAAAATAGAGAATCATAATCAACAAATTTAAAATATATCTTTTGTATAAATAAATTATAAAAATACAATTCTTAAGAGCGAAAAACAACTTGGAAAAACTTATTTTTTGTTAGGAACTAAACAGAACAAATCACAGGCGTGGACATATAGTCCACAAGGATAAATATATCCAGTGTGGCTAGTGGCCACGAAAATAGGTGCAAGCATAAAGCTCACGAATAACAGGCGTGGATTATGTCCACAAATTACACCCTCCATTCCATATGTGTTGACCGACACACGGGGCTAGCACCTCTAATGCACCCTACTAGCTAAGTGTACCATGGTGCCTCAAGGGCTAATGAAACTGTCGTTATTCTGTATTTAGTCCTATAAAACATTTTCGGCATGCATGGAATCTAAAAATCCTTATAGTTCAAATTGGTCGTTAACTTGTAAAGTATAAATAATCTTTTCATCGATAATTTATTTTATCCACACATGTATAACACGTTTAGAAAAATAAAATACCATAAAAATAATTGCATAAATAAGTTCAAAGAATAAATAAGATACCTACATCCATTATATCAACTTAATCAATAAGGTACAGTAGGAAAAATTGTTTAGAATAAACGAAAAATAAAATAAAATAAAATGACTAAAAAGACTATAACTTCTATTTATTGGGAAACGTTATTTACTTGACTTATTTCCCAGTTTCAAAATTTTCTTCTAATAGTTTTAATTAAGTTTTCTCTTCTTCTAATGATCCTATCAAATATAATAAATTTTAATAAAATTTCCATAGCCTTAAATAAACTCTTTTGCAAAATCATTATCATTTTAACATCTCAAAATATCTGTGTACTTTCAGCCGCAAATAATTACCTAATAATTTCAAACACTAATAATTAGATAACTATATTTCATTTCTAGCTTACTCGTAAAAGCTTTTAGTATTCAAATCTTTTCTCACACATTTCATCTACAATCAAGAATTCAATGACCTCTCAAAAATCAAGTTCAATTTCTTCTAACAAATATTTTATCAAACACCTCACATGCATTAATTCTCAAACTTAGATCAAACATCTTTTCTTCAAATTTCATTTTCCCAAACTTTTTTAAAGTATATATTTAAAGTAATTCAACCTTCCAATTACAAGTATTCAACATACAAAATTTGAAACGAATATTAAATTTATCCACCTTCAACAAACAAACAATACTTAAACCAAATTTCTCTTCACTGTCTATAAAAGCACAGCAGCACAAGGGAGATTAAATTGCCAATAATTAAACATTCACACCATACATGCTGAGCAAGAGGGAAGAGGCTTGAAGCTCCCTCACCTTAAAACACAAATGAAGATAAGAGAAGGAGAAGTTGATGTTTATGGATGAACAGGGGAAGAGTTTCTGGCACAACGCAATGACAGCAGAAGAACAACACAACACCAAGAAGCAGAAGGAACCACGTGCAGCACCTTGGCTCAAGTGATTTAGCTCACGCACGTCAACTTACACCCACCAGCATCAACGCAGAACAGAGAAGCAGCAGAGGAAAATTTCCTGAGACAGAAACAGACCAGCGACAGAAACAGACCAGCAATAGAAACGAACCAGCAACAGAAATGGATCAGTGAAGGTTGGAAACAGACCCACGGTGTGAAGAAGAACAAGTGGATGGTGAGAAAAAAAGAGACTTGACCGGAAAGAAGAAGAGCCGAAGGAATGAAAGTGAAAAATATCCCTCACTGTGCGAAATATAAGACCGAAGAGGAAAAGAGGATTCTGGATAAAGAACCATAGGAAAAATCGCAAAACAAGACTCAATGTTGGTTGAAAAAAATTTCAAAAAGATACCTCACAGATTTTCTTTATCATCATAATATTTTTAATAATAAAAGATATAAAAAGACTTTAATAATTCTTATATAAAAAAATAAAATTAATATTTGATTTAAATAAAATTTAAATTCTAGATCCATATAAGTAACTAATATAAATTCTACTAAACCTCTACTTCTCATGTGCCATAATTAAAATAATCAAATAAAATATTAATTAAAAAAATTATTTAATTTAAATTTTTATGTCATTACAACTGGTTCAATTATCCTACTCCAAAAAGCGCAATGGCTCGCAACTTCCTCAACACATGGGCAAGATGAGTGTCAAGAGTGGGTGAGGAAGAAGAGAGAAACTTTCTCAACATAGTCGACATAAGATTGGACAGCGTCAACACTGGCAAGCATAATCTGGGGTCATATTTGTGGCAAGGGATCAGACCACAGCAAACACACTTATAAAGACAGGAGGGAATCAGCCACTTGTGAATGAAGAGAGAGTATGCTTCCAACGCCCATCACCACACTCAACGCTGGTTAGAAAGCTGCCTCATGTAGCTTCCAGGGAAAGACTCGTTCTTTCAAAAACATTAGTTGAGTTTTTTTCAATCCAAACATGAGCTAATGAGCATTTAACATCTATACCTAGGTTTGGGCTACCCCAACTTAAATTGGGATGTTATCCAAACACACACTAAGTAAGTAGTGGTTGAGTTTTTACCAAAAAATAAAGAAAGAAAAAAAAAAGGGAATAGGGTGTGTGGTTAATAATTATTGGAGACTCATTGTTTGATCAGATCATAGTGGAGTTTTTTCCAGGTCCTATGATTTTTATCTCTCACATTGAGAGAGTTTTTCATGTGAAAAAATTGTGCTTTCTTGTTAAGTTTTTTTTTTTTTCTAAACACACTATTAGACTTTGTTTGGAATGAGAAGAAAGTAGAAAGGGGAGAAAATTAGAGGAAAAAAAAATTCAACTTCATTTTTTTTCCTCAAAGACAAGAAAAACTAATGTTAGGAAGGAAAAAAAATTATTTTTTCTTATTTTTCTCTCCTATCTATTTCCTTTCCATGTCAAATGAAGGGTTAGTATAGTGCTTGATAGAAAGAAAAATGTGGTCGTTGATTAGTCATTAATGACAAATTGTTTAAATTATGAAGCAGTCCACGAATCTAATAGCCTTGAGTAAACTCAAATTCTGTAAGCAAAAGTTAAAAGAGTGACTTTATCAGTCACACCAAGTTCAAATAAATCTCCTTAACAAATAGTACATGGATGAGTTTGCAAAAGAATACAAATAATAAAGTGAAATAGATGATGTAGATCTAATACAATAACAAATATCCTAGTAAAATGTCGGTTTCAACTCAGCTATTTTGCATCCACAGAATTATGTATAGGCTATTTGATTTTCAATAGTTATGTTGCATAATTTGGAAGCTGATTACTGGAGTCCCTGTTGATATATAGTTGATTTTATTGGTTTAATAGTTGATTTTTAACTGTCTCATGAATTATCACAATGAGCTGTAAAAACAGAAAAAAAGCAATATTCATGGTATAGCTTTCACACTTTTACTCAAAAACCACCTAATTTCACCATGAACCCAGGGTGTAGGGGCAGACGTTTAATAGGGTGAAACGTTAAAATTAGGGTTCATGTTTGTATCTTCTCAATATTCTAATTTCCTGCATATGAGGTAAGATAAAAATTAAAATAGGAGAATTATATATAAGTCTCTTACAATATATCTTTTTTTTTTATACACGGCTAGGGTAGAATTGTGCAGAGAAAACCAAAATCAGATAATGTCATAAGCTATAAAAGTTATACAATCAATAGGCGGATTATCAAATAAGCTGATATCAAAGTTCTCAGTTGATGCCTTGTGGGCCATTAGGTTAGCGCATTTATTGGTTTTTCTATAAATATGATCAAAAGTGATCTCCCAACCACACATGATAAGATTTTGATGTTTTTGATAATAGCTAAGAGGTGGTGGTTTTGAGGAGAGTTGCAAACAATGAGTGATAAGGCCTCTATAGAATTAGAATAAACGTTGACTTTAAGAATTTTAGCATTTCAGCAAAAGTTAAGACCTTCCAAAATTCTAATCAATTTCATTGCTATGCTAAATTGGTAACCAACATTTTTGGAAAATCTTTTAATTTAGTTGCCCTTATTGTCTCTGATTAGGCCACCACAAGCAGCAATTCCATTAATGTTGATAGAACTATTAATGTCTAATTTGACCCAACCTAGCTTAGGGGATGACACACAACATATCTAAATATCATAAGGTTCATTGATAACTCAAGCTATCATTTTCCTTTACTCAATTGTCAATATACTTTATAATATTTAATTGTGATGTGTGAGATCTTAAAATAATTTTTCTAATTAAAATAAACAAATGTGATAGTCAATTAAAGGGTGAAATACCAAATGGCTGGAATAATTTCTTTATTTTTTTTTTGACATTAGGATAAGATTTTAATGATTGGGGGCCAATAAATAAATGCATGTCTACAGCACAGCCAAGTAAATAAGAAATTCTTTTTGTTCTACTCCTTCCATTTTTATCTATAAGATGTTTTTAATTGAATTGTGTAAACAAATAAAAGTTGATTATTAAATTAAAAGTGCAGTAACATTTTAATTTTGTCTCTAATTATTCTAAATAAAAATAAATATTTTTTAAAGTAAAATAATAAAAATATTTATTTTTTTAATTTAATAAGGATATAATGATTCATTTATTAAAAAAATATAAAAAAATTTTTACATATAAAGACGGAGAGAGAGTGCTCTTCATATCAATTACAACAAAGAATGTAAAAGTAGAAAATAGAATCCAGATGCTCAATTATTTCATTCTCTTGTTCTCTGTTCTTCTAGTTCCTCACTTCTTCGCAAAATCTCTGTTTTTCCCCTTTTTTATAACATGAAATAATTTAGAAAAAGAAATGATCTTCTGAGATAATCTTCCAAGGGCCCACTTAGAGGCGAGTCCCATGGGTGACGAATCCACCACCAGAGTAGACCAAGGGGCCGCCATCAGCTGCCCTGTCCAACGGCCACAAAACAATCCTTGCAAACGTTGTGAAGACCGCGTTCTCTCCTCTGATGAGCGTTAATGGCAACATCTTTAGGGCGGCGCTCTTACTCTGCTAATCAAATACTTCACGAAGCAGTCTGAGCTTGCAGTCGCGGTCGCGGTCGCTAAGGACAACAGAACCAAGACGGCCGCAGAGGATAGCGATGCCAACACTAATGCACTGCCAATAGGTATGGATTCTTCCCTCGGCTTCGTTGGTGGAACTTATACGCTGTCTCTGTTTGAATAATGGGACATAGTCTGATACTCACATCCTAGTGATTTCACGGAAGTAATTGATAAAAACAAAGGAAGACCCTGTGATTCAATATTAAATACATAATAAAATCATATAAGAATGACCATGTTTACTCTTTGTTTAACTACAATACCGCAATTGTGTTAGTTGAGTTGGGCCTATTTACGATTCTGTTACTATTCATGCTAAATGGACAAAATTCCTGGAAAATATGAACAGTACATGTAGCCTCAGGAGCAACAACCGTTTTTTTTTTTTTTAAAAAAAGCTTCTTGAGGCACACTACAATAACATCAAAATTTAAAGCCTAAATAGCACCGCCGATTTGATTGATAATGTATATTTGAGGGAAGCAAAGAGTTCGTCATCTAAAGCAACCACCTTTTCTTTTCCTGAAAGTTGCTGCCTCGGAAAAATTATTCCATGTGCATACTGTGCTTATGTTTGTGGAAAGTTATTCATCACTTCTTTCTTCTTATTCTGTTAAATCAAACCTACCAGAAATTGTCTTTTAGAATCTATATTTGCAATCTTTTTCATTCTCATTCATTTCTTCCGATACTTTTGAAACACATCACCAGGGGCACTATGACTAGCTCAATTTAGTTTCAAATTTTTTACTTATAATATATTGAACAAAGTATTGAAGCTCAAATCAATAATCTCTTGCCGATGTTTCAGGCGCTATTCTTTCAAACTTGTTTTAAAAGTTTGTTTTACCTGCAATGTCAAAGCGTTTTCATGAAACTTGATCATTCTTCCAGTTATATTTTCCTAATGAAAACTTTGGCCTCCCTTTTGTCTTCTTACTCTTACAATTGTTTGGGCTCATGAATTATGATGATTAAACATGCTACTAGATATCCATAATCCTTTCACAATTTCACCAGATATATAGAGGACATAAAATATTTGTCCTTGATCACATTACTTGAATTATATGCCATCTTATATTTAACATTTGATCATTCATGCTTGTAATATAAATCTGTAGTGAAAATTCAAGAAGGGTTGCCTTGTGCGTCATGAGTTTAAACCCTAGAGAAATTATTGCATTGTGTAATATAAATCTATTAGGCCCATTAACCCTTCATTTTTTGGGTTTGTTAGTTTATTCTTATCATTATAGTCAGCATTATCTCTATAATACAGATTAGGATCTTATCATTTATTTTTATTTATTGAGAGAGGATTTTAAACGATTTAGTCAATCTCTCTCTTCCTCTATGTGTATCGATCATATTGATGAACAATAAATAAGCTGCACCCTGTTCTCCCTGCAGGCAGCAGCCTACGTTTAAAAAAAAAAAAAAGGAATGAAATATGTAGGAAAGCTACATGGATGGTGATGATTGAAAGATAGTAAGAGATAAAGATTTTAGAGATACCAGGGAATTTAGGAGAGTAAATGTGGGAACTGTAGGGTTTTAAGAGGTAATTTAATGTAAATTTAAATATTGACATGTAGACTAACACATAAGATTTAATTTATTGAGTTGATACTTCTTTGGTCCTATTTATAAGTCACTTTCAACATGTTTCACCAATATCAAGGAAAACCTTAAAACTCATTAACTCTGTCTTAAAATTAAATAAGTTTTTAACTTTGCCCCTATTAAATATATATATTTCAATTACATATTTTCTCTCTCCATCATTCAATGGAGGGTAAAAGAGGAAATTTGTGATGAAAATTTAATGACGTGACTTATAAATAGGAAAAAAAAAATTCTTCTCTCTTGGCCCTATAAATAAGACCAGAGGGAGTATATTGTTATCGAACAATGTATCAATGACATGGTACTTCAAACGTACCTAATAATTTCTCTAAATCCAAATGGAAGATAGCAACCAAAAGGTACAAGAAAAGAAAAAATCACCTACATCTTGTATTATCCTTTCATAAACTTCTCAACAACGTGTGCTTTGTTTCTTTCCCTTTTCTAGTATGTTTTAAAGTCTTATCAAGAGGAACAAGATGTAGAACCAGTGGCAGATGTAGGATGCTGAGTCAGTGGGGGCATAAATTATATAAAATATAAAAATAATTAAAAACTAAAAATTTAATATATAAAATAAATATTTACATACCTTACAAGTTTTCTCTATGTGGCTTCATGTTTTGAAATTGTTGAATGATCAGCTCATTGTCAATGCTATTAAACCATAGGTTTCCCATTTGATTATGGAACTGATTTTTCACAGACTTAGCAAAAAAGGCTCTTTCTACAGTTACTATGGCAACAGGCAATATCATTGCTAGCTTTAATCAATTTCTCACACTTAACCTCACATTCTCACGCCATTCACTCTGTCTCTCGTCTCAGACTCTGTTTTCTAGCAAAGAATCTCTCCATCTTCCTATCTTTTGGTATTCTTTTAGTTTTTGTATGTTTTAAAATTTTAAATTTCATTTTTATTGAGGTTATTTATTATTTAGTTTGACTTTAGATTTGTAAAAATATTAAAAAGGAAAATTAAAATTATTTTCTTATAAAAGTAATATAACTTTAAATATAATAAATTTAAAGTTAAAATCTATTAGGCTTAAGTGAAATATAAAAGACTTGAATATTTTTGAACCGAAATACATTTTAGTTTGGGTTTGCTGGGTTCAAAATTATAGGGACAATGGGGGCAAATTTTTAAAACCCCTACCTCTCTTTGTAATTTTCCTAATTTGAGGGGGGGCAACTGCCCACCCTCAACAATATGTAGGTCCGCCACTGTGTAGAACTTTCCAAGGTCATAAAGATAATAAAACTTTTGACAAAGTTCACCTGAGAGCAATACTCCTCTAATCCTATCTATAAGTCACTTTCAACATGTTTCACTAATACCAAGAAAAACCTTAAAACTCATTAACTCTATTTTAAAATTTAATAAGTTTTTAACTTTGCCCCTATTAAATATATATACTTTAATAACATATTTTCTCTTTCCAACATTCAATGGAGGGTAAAAAAGTAAATTTATAATAAAAATTTAATGACATGACTTATAAGTAGGATCAAAAAATTTTTTCTCTCTCTGCTCTATAAATAGGACTAGAGGGAGTAATTGTCTGATACTACACACTTAAGCTGCCAGGCTCATTTCTTATGTTGTGACATTAGCAATAGAAATATGAAGCTTATTTTTTATTAGCATTTTGCTAGATCGGGAATGGAACAAACACACCAGCATTCAAATGAGGGAACATGACCATAAATATTCATTATACACAGCAAACATTCTAAACGTTTAGGATTAACAAGATAGAAAATCTTATGTAGAAACAAGGTAGAGCTACCCTATTGCAGATATTGAAAGTGTAAGTCAATGAAGAATATACTTTAGGTCTTTCAAAATGAAACAGAAACTTCACAAACTCCTGTCTATCTCCCCTCAAAATTAGAGATAGTTACTTTATTGATGGAACATAATTCATCATTTTTTGGAGTTTGCTCTGCTGCATGAGACATGGTCTGCCTGAGGACGAATGCAGGTTGGTTTGGGAGAGGAATATCTATAATCTCACTATGAAGCATTGACATTACAGAAGCCATCGTGGGCCTATCTTTTGCAAGTTCTTGCACGCACAAAAGCCCAATATGTATGCATTGCAATATGTCCTTGTAAAAGCTTGGATCATATATTTGTGGATCTATTAGAGGCATAACATTGTCATCGATCCATAATTTCCAAGCCTAGAAACATTAACAAGTAAAAATGATAGATGTTTAACTTCAATGTTATATTAGGGCTACAGCTATTTAAAGCTTTTGCAAGAAGGGAAAGTGAAAATTGGAGAGGCTTACAAATCCTAAAAGTGTGAAACATTCCACATCTTTATAAAAGCTAGTGTTTTTTCTTCCACTAATAATCTCCAACAGTAAAACACCAAAGCTAAAGACATCAGATTTCTTTGAATAGAGTCCTTCTGCTGCATATTCTGGAGAAATATAGCCACTGCATTTATAAACTACATCTTTGAGATCTCAATATGCTAATAATATAATTATCATGGACAAAAGAAAAGGAGCACTTACTATGTTCCAACAATTCTTTCTGTATTTGCCTGGTTTTCACTACCTCCAAAAAGTTTAGCCATTCCAAAATCTGATATTTTTGGATTCATTTCCTCATCCAATAATATGTTACTTGCCTTCAAATCTCTATGTATAATTCGTAATCTTGAATCTCTGTGAAGATAGAGCAATCCTCTAGCTATTCCCTCAATTATGGTGAAGCGCTTTCTCCAATCTAAGGATTTATGTTTTGATGGATCTGCAAAAGATTGTTCAAGTAAGATGTGATGAAAGTAGATGGTCATAAGAAGACAATTTACTCACTTCCTGCATTATTATAGTAGGTGGTGGTATATTTGCTATGCGAGGCAATTACTTGTATATTAATAAACCACTTTAATTGTTCATTGACTCCATTGAACTTGCACATCAAGAGATACAAAACCTCACATGAACTTATAAAATTGGGAAGTATTCCTACAAATGTCAACAGAGTGGTGACATAAGGTAAAATAAAATTTGAAGTACCATACTTTTACTTCTTTAGGTATTCATAGACAATCAAGTTTTCATTTTTCTCCTCCATTCATCCTATGCAAAGCATATAGAAACATCCATTTAGTAAACGGTGATATGCATGGAGGATTGGCACTAACCAAATATGTATGTATCCAAACTTTTGTTTGGCATGCATTCATAAACCAATATCTCTTCTTCAATGCAACATCCAAGAAGTTTAACAAGGTTTCAGTGTTGAAGCTTAGAGATCAACTCCACTTCATTTATAAATTCATCCATACCCTGTCCTGATAGTCTTGATAGTCTTTTTACTGCTATTTCCTGCCCATCTTCCAATGTCCCCTGAAATAAGATGATAAAGAACATTAATTTCTTATGAACTGAAGGATTATAAAGTTCAAAAAGAATGAAAATCACCTTGTAAACTGGACCAAAACCACCCTGCCCAAGTTGAAGTGATATATCAAAGTTATTTGTTGTAGTTTCCAACTTTCTCAAAGAAAACAATGATAGGTCTGGAACATGGACTTGCTTCAGGGGCATCATCCTTGTTTTGTATTGATTCTGCATCTGTGTTTCCCCTGATTTTCACACATTTCCCCCATTTTATTTCGCCGAAAAACATATATTGCTATTCTAATACTAGGTTCCAAGAGCTATGAGTTAACTATATGAACTTGTCGCACATTCTGTATCAAAATGATGGAACTCAAAAGTTCGAGAGATTATCTACGATCACAAAGCTAAGATTGTACCCAATCTAAATAACCACAGAGAAGATCACTCATCCTTTGAATGAACCCTTATAGTCAACGTGAAAATTACCTTTTTGGTTTGAGCATTTTTTCCATAAGAAATATCCAGACACCATAATGAGAATTGTTCCTGTCAAAATTGATATTATAATAGGCGTTGTCATCTTCCTCTTGCCTATGCCTGTATCAAAGAAAACAACATTCAGCGAGCTTTCATTTTCTGGCAATAATTTCATCACTATACCACATATATTGTCATCAACAGGCTATAAAGAAATTAAAAAAACAAATAAATAAAGCTCTTCGTGTATTTGTCATGACATTTGTTTTGCAAAAACAAGCACCACGCTAGTTGACTCCTTGAAATAAAATTGCTCCCACATTTTATAATACTTTTGAAGAATCTTAAAAATAAGTTAAGAAGTAACATTGCTCTCAAGGATGTTTAACATGACATACATATAAACAGCCATGCAACGAAATATATAGTGCTTAGTGAAATTTAAAGTTGAACCAAATCCTAGTTGAGTGTTGAAGACATGTTGGACTGTAAACAAGTGTGTTCTAGGGTATTTTAAAGCGCTTTCTCTAATTAATATACATACCTAGTTCTGAGTGGGCTAAACGTATGTAAACATCAATCCCTCCGTCTGGGAAGTTTTGTATGTCAAGTAAATCTGCATTCCAAATCATACAGCCAAGGTTTCTTTCATGGGCATAAGCGATACAAGAGCAATTCTTGAGGCATGTAGTTTCACAATCTATAGTAGCCTCAAAGTAAGAAGGTAACACTTACACATCATCTGGTAATTTCACTCTCTCCAGCATCCAAAATCCATCTATTTTGCTAGCTTGAGAATCATTTTTTTCTCTCACACACTGAAGTGCTTCTCTTCTGACACACCCACCGGTCCAGTTCTGCCTTCCCCATTCTTCTTTGTTCCTTGGTTCAAACCCTCTCAAGCAGCTGCAAATTGGGAAGCTCTGCCAATTACAAACCCCGAATGGACCACATGTGCCATAAACATCACACTTTGAAGAACCAATTATCCTCAAAAGTTCCAATCTGTTTGACTGGGAATTCCAACGCCGTTGTTCTACTTTACCTTGAGGATTTAAGGTAAAAGTCGCGGGAGACTTGTCTGAAAAAAATAGTTCCGAAGTCCCGTTCTCTTCTTTCATCTGAAACCCATCCCCGGAGTTAGTTGAAGCTATCCTTGGTAAACCAAGGAAGTCTATGCCATCCCAGGGACCAGTTCGAAAGTAAGGACGATTTTCTTTCCACACAAATACTTCAGTTACGTTACGGGCTTCAAGACCGCAAGAAAATTCTCCATAAGATGGATCAGATGCACTTTTCCAAGATGTAAGTTTCACTTTCTCACCTGTTCTTTTATTAATTATGAATTTCATGTATGGTAATAGTGTATTGCCAGGATGTTGGAAACTCTGCCACACGGATACTCCTGTAATTCCATCAGCAAGGATTAGGTTGCCGGAATCCAAGAGTTGAGCACTGGAGTTTGAGGCAACTTGTGAGACGTTTGTTGACCAAAGAACCTGTTTTTGACCATTCAAAACAACAAGATTGCCATTTTCTGATATTGTCAGAATTCCCAAAGAATCTATTAGTGGGTTGTTTCTGTTAGCAACCCAAACAATGGAGGATTTGGACATGTACCAAATTCCCATGTAGCGATTAGTGGAATTTTGAGGACTGAAGAATCCTAGTGTGAACATGTTATTACTTGAGCTCACTGTTTCAGGTTCTTGGATCGACATAGATGATGCAATGGTGTCCAAGGCACATACCACAAGAGTTGAAGAGAACAAACGTACAAGGAAAGCAAGTAACAAGACTTTATTGAATCCCATGAAGAACATTGATTTCGAAGTGCTGTGAAGGATAACCCCGTATAATATACTGTATTTCGAACTATTTACCTTTTCTTAAACTGCGACTTCACTGGAGGAAGAACAAAACCTGCAACAATCTGGAACTTCGACTTCACTTGGTCGCCATTCTTATTGTACAACCATTGAATCTTCTCATTCATCAATCATATACTCCCTCCGGTCTCATTTATAAGTTTAATTTTAGAAGGTGTATTTGGTCTCATTTATAAATCATGGTGCGTCTTTTTAAATAATATTTGAGAGGTATTTCCAAAATTACCCTTCATGAGAGAGAAAAAGTAATAGTACATTACTTTTTAAATTTGTTATATAGGGACATGTTTGGAATTTTACTTATTTTTATTCCTTGTATTTTTGTTGTATTGGTATTGATGAGATTAGTAGAAATGACTTATAAATAGGATCGGAGGGAGTAGTCTTCTAAAAAGTTATAAACAATAGAATTTTGACAAATATACTTTCCTCTGCGGTCGTGGGCCTTGTTACTGACATCTTATCATAGGATTTTATTGATCTTGCTGTCAGTAGTTCTGTCTATGGCTCTTCATCTATCAAATATCAAAACTAGTTCAAGCAGTTTAAACTAGCTTATTTTGGTAGAATAGCCAATCTATGTTGCATGGTCTATTCAATTATCTTGTAGATAGATTCGAGATGATGACGTGCAAATTATTTGACCAGAACATGAAAGTTACGTTCCAAGAAACATCAGTCTCCATCTAATATTGAATTATTGATCAATGTGTGTATTTAGGTTTAATGCAATAGATAATATTATAATATCAGTAGCTAGCTTCTATTATTTATCCACAAAAAATTTTCAATGAAGCACAATGACCTTTATAAATTTATAATTAGTGAAGTAATACTTTAATTGGATTAATCATGTAAATCAAATCAAACTTATTGTTCGGATATATTTTTTTTAAGGATTTTTTTTTCATGCATTCAAAGCTGATTTTTTACTGTCGACAGCTTTTTCAGAGGCTGTAAAATGGTCCCAGTTCAAGGAAAAAACTGATCAATGAACGAAAGATTCAAAAGATGTGTGGTCCTTGACTTTTCAAGTTTTAGGCAGCTGAGGAACTTCGATTGTTACGTTCCAAATTATTGGAGTAGAATTCCATTGTTGTATTCAAGACTTCACTATTGAATAAATTGATTCTCTTTCCTTTCTCTTTCGCTCTCCTCCGTTTCTCCTTTCCTTTCTCCGTTTCACATTAATTGGTATAAGAGTTATGTTCTTACTTCTTTTTCTTGGATTGCTTTCTCACTACAAGCCTTGTTCACTCCCTTTTCGACATCTGTTTAACATGGAACGACAACCATTGTGTTCGCCTCGGCGAACTTGGCTAGGCCACCAGACCATGTTGCCAGTGGACACCGCACGCGCCCCACAAACAATAGCCAAAATTTTCTACGAATGACTCTCACACGCCACACTTGCCGTGTGTTCCACGCACCCCATGAAGAACGTGATGATTATATGAAATTGAGGAAGACAATGGGTTTCAGAATTAATGCTGTGGAGGATAACTCATATAATATATTGTATTTTGAACTATTTAGTTTTTCTTTACTGTGACGCCGTTGTAGGAAGGAAAAAAAAATCTGCAAAAAGTTTGAATTTTTCATGGGACTGCTATGAATTTCAATAAGAACTTTATAAGTAAAGTAGAGCTTATAAGGTTGTGAGAAACTTTTCTATCTAACATAGTAGTCTTTTGAAATAGATTTTTCCTTTAAACATGTGCTCTTGATATTAGTGTTTTTATTGAAAGTCTGATGTCACAAAAAAAAAAAACTATCCATAAAAGCTTTTAATCAATAGGAAGTTAAGTAAAGTGCCATGAAGTGAAGCCGTTAAGTACATAAGCTATGATTATGGTAGCATTGTTGTGCGTCCAACAAATGAAGTGAGATACAAATGAAGTGAGATTTATAAATGTGAAAGGCCTTCCTACCACAAGTTAGTTTTTTTGAAATGCATGATACATGGACTTGGTTGCCAACGACTTTCAAATTTTCATAGTATTAAAAACTGGATCGGCTATTGAACCGATTAGAATTAAGGATCAGGGGTTAGATATTCAATCGAGATCAAATTGATTATGATAAAATAATATATTTTTTCATTATATAATAGATAATAAATATTTTATTAAAAAACACAAATATATAAAATTTATAATATATATACTTTTGTTTTTCTTTCTATCTATTCTCTAGCCTAACAAATATCATTATTTCTCTCTTATCAATGCGTGGCAAACTCACCTTACCTCTTTTGACTTCACCTTCTCACAAATCTGGGTCTTCATCTCTTTCTTTCTTCTTACTTCATCTACTTCTCTTTCTACATCATTGCTTAATCTTTGAAGATAACGCACAACAGAGCATCGAGCACTTGAGCAACAATGCAACACCCAAGGACTAGTGAGGAAGGTGAGACCCACAATGTCCATTATGGACACTGAGGAACACTGAGGAACATTGAGGGATGGGGAGAGCTCGGCCGATATTCGAGAGCGAGTGAAGAACTGGAATGAGAATTGAAGAGTCAAAAAAGGGAGAAGGAAGAAGAAAGATTGAATGAGTTTCACAAGCTTTTATCCTCTTCTTGTTTTTTTTTTTTTTTTTTGCGTTAAAAAATCTAACCTGCCCAACCCACTTAACCCGTGGGGTTAGGTGGGATGATTCGGGATTGAATCACTAGGTTAATCCGAGTCAAGTGTGTCCACCTTAAATAAGAAAATTAGATGGGTTGATTCGGTCTAATTTGCAAATAATGCAATTTTTTTCGCACCGTACGACTGTTGAATCTTTCCCTTCATCAATCCTAGTTTTCTAAACAAGCTGCAAGCAGTAGAATTTTGACGCGTGTATTCCTCCAGTGCGGTCATTTTCTCAAATTTGTCTGTCCCACAGGTTTAAATTTGAAGTTATTGGAGAAAGTTTAGTTTTACTTTCTCCCATAGCCCAAATAAAAGTGATGTCCAAATTTTTAAAAAAATCTAGGAATTTTTATCTGTGTGTTTTCTCTAGCTTTTTAATATTCTTCCAAGGGTTCACTTAGAGGGGAAACGCATTTAGTGCCCGTCACTCCTATGAAATGATCAAAGCCCTTCAATTTTTTTAAATGATGTTTGCCGTTAATGTAAAATTATTTTTTAAATATTTTAATATTATATTTATAAAAATAAAATATATAAAAATTATAAAATTAAATATAAACTGTTTTTTAGGTTATTAGAGGATAAATGTTACAATACTCATCATTCCTAATAAGATTTGAATAATTTAAATTTAAGCTTTTTAGTTTTATTTTATTTATTAAAATAAAAATATGTAAAAATATAAAAATATTTAATAAATTTCTTTATACCAATCTGGCAATCTGGATGAAAAGTTTAATATTATTTTTTAATAATTTTTATAAACTGACTATCTAGATATATTTTAAATAGTATAGATATAATTTAAAAGATTTAATTTAATATTAAAAATTTTATAATTTTAATTAATTATTTATCTAGATATATTCTGAATAGTTTATATTTAATGTTATAATTTTATTGTGATAAATATAATATAAAAATATTTAAAAATAATTTTAAATCAACAGCAAAAAAAATAACTTGAGGAGTAAAGCTTTGGAGCAAAAAAAGAGCATCCGACACGTGAGTTGAATTTTCTCTCTCTTGGTTTTTGTGCCAGGAAAAGTTTTCGCATGGATGATTCAGGTAACCAGAAAATACCATCGGATCGGCCTCCAGATACGGAAGAAAAAGACGAAAGGCAATCAAAGAAAAAGAAGGGCTCACCGGACGAAAATGAAAATCTGATTATGGATGACACTATGGAAGAACCAGAGGCGTCTGCAGAGATGACTGCCAACGTGGTTGATAATCCATCTAGAACTGTTCTAGAAGCTAGACAAGAAACCACCACAGCAAGGAAAATACCTTCATATAAGGAATCTTTAATGGGTTTCAATGGAATAGCTAATAGTAACACTGGAATGGATGTGGATGAAGATAACGTTTTCACAAAAGAGGATGGAATCTACTGGCTGCTTCTGGAACCATCAGAGGAGGTGAAGAAACTTATGGAGAAATACCCAGAAGTGCCAATCACCCAAGAATATAATGAATGGTGCCAACCTTGAAATAACACCTTGATTATTACCATACTTGGGAAGAGGTATAATGTCTATCAGTTAAAAATCTTGCTGATTAAATTATGGAATATTTTTGACTTTGAGCTCATCGATCTTCCAAACAATTATTTCACGGTGAGATTTAAAGAGACTGAAGGTTGGACAGAACAATACAAGAAAGTACTATACGGTGGACCCTGGGTGGTGCAGCAACATTGTATTCTCATCCAGAGATGGACTCCTTACTTCAACCCTTTTCAAAATTCTCTGGGACGTCTTGCAGTGTGGGTACGTGTTCCAAATATACCTGTTCACTGTTACAATGGGTATTTTATATCCAGGTTAGGGGATCGAATCGGAAGGACCATCAAGGTTGATCTAAACACTCTTGAAGATTTTACAGCTAAAGCTTCCAAAGTGGAACGGGGACATTATGCGCAAATCTGCGTCGAACATGATCTGCAAAAAAAGTTGATTCCTTTTCTAATCGCAGCTGGTGAAGTGTTTCATGTAGAGTATGAAGGACTAAATTTAATTTGTTTTTCTTGCGGTAGATATGGCCACAGAAAGGAAGTCTGCCCATAGAGATATAATAATTCACAAGGTACAGGGGATGGTAACCAGTCACAACACCTTCACTGCTCCCCGAAGAAGTCACCGGAAAAAAGAATCCCGTCAAAAGATGAAATATTTGGAACCTGGATACTGCCACCATGACCTAAGGGATTTCGATTTTCAAGGTTTGACAAGACAAGAGCATACATAGGTGAATCAGCACGCAACAGTCGAACTTTCAAGAAAGAAGATAGCCGCATTACACAGTCTCGATTTGCTGCACTAGTCGACTGTGAGGAGGAAGAGGAAATAGAGGAAGAAGTCAAACTTAGCCATAAAGTAGATGCTGCAGATTCTGAATCAATAGGCAAAGAGTTGGTATTAAGCTCAGAGAAGAAAGCACTGACAATGACTCCTGAACATTCATATAGCTCGAGGAAAGGAAAAACACCTGTCAGAAAGTCTATGTATAGACCGAAAGGAAAAGAAAATAAAGAGGTTAATTTCTATATGAAAATAGATAAAGGGCTTTATGGATCTGGACCAAACAATAATGTTAATGTTGGGCCTGTCAACTTGGGCCAGTCTGCAAAATGTGAAACAAAAACTGGAAGGCAACGTACCCATGTGGTGGTGCAAGGACAATTGGATAAGTTGGGCTACATTAACTGTTCAGACTTGGGCAAAAGAACTATAAACCCGACGCAAGCTTCAAACTCACTACGATCTTCTGGAGATTCAGCTCGTCCCTCTACATCACACGAACCTTTGCATGACGGAGAACCAAACCCAAAGCCTCCTGATCGCAACTTGATGCTAGTTCCTCTTCAGTCAAATAAGAAGGTTTCGAGCCATCATCCTGAGGATAGTGATGATATTCTTGTGGAAGAACCCATATGGGATCAAGACGCTTCTTGCATGGAGTAAGTGTTCCTTTGGAACTACTGTCTTCCAATATATTGTTTTAATGATAATTTCTTCTTGGAATTGTT